ACACACAGAGGAGGGCTCATCCTCGCCAGCATGGGGCAGCAGAGACACACTCACACATGCACACAGAGAGCAGGTCTCATTCCCTCCAGCAGGGGGCAGCGGGGATACACACACACATACACACACACACACTTACTCACTCACTCTGCAGGACTCATCCCCTCCAGCAGGGGGCAGCAGGGACACACACACACACACACACACACACACACATCCTAACTCCCATTCATACCTTTGAAAATCTCCCCGACAGCCACAAACTGAAACCCACAACCTCATGAACACAGAGACCCTCCCCCACAAAAAAAAGTTACACACACGTAAAGTTACACACACACACACACACACACACACATAGAGACACAACCCAAAGAGGCACATACAGACATGAACACACACGTGTACTCACAGACACACACGCACGACTGTCTGGGGATTGGTCCTGCTTTGAGCAGGGGGTTGGACTAGATGACCTCCTGAGGTCACTTCCAACCGTAATTAATATTCTATGATTCTATGACTTCAGAAATTCACTTAGACTCTTTCCACCAGGAGGTGCTAGACCCCAGGAAAAACCCTTCCTGCCAATGACCAAATACACCTCTACCCCGATAGAACGCTGTCCTCGGGAGCCAAAAAATCTTACCGCGTTATAGGTAAAACGGCGTTATATCGAACTTGCTTTGATCCGCCGGCGTGCGCAGCCCCGCCCCCCCAGAGCACTGCTTTACCGCGTTATATCCGAATTCGTGTTATATCGGGTCGCATTATATCGGGGTAGAGGTGTATCCTGGAACGATTACGTTCCCACAAATCTCCTGGTGGCTTAAGACCATTCATGTCCCGCCTCCCAACCCAGCCCCCCAAATCCTCCCCCCAATCACAGGAGACATCACAGACCCCCACGTCAATCCCTTTGTCAATTCACTCCCCTTGGTTTGGAATCTCTCTCTACAAAACTGTAGGTCCTACACAAACACTGGCTCTTGCTTCAGGGATGGGTTTTGCTGCCGCCCCTTCTCTCCCCGCGCTAGGTGCTGTACATATGCCACAAGCAGCTAGCCCCAAAGCGATCGCCGTTAGAGCCAGTCGGGGATTTACTGACAAAATGGCATGTGGGGGGAATTCGGTAGACAAATGCTGATTTAGCGGAAACGGTTTGTGAAGGCAGCAGATCTCCTGGCTCGAGCCGTGTCTGGAAAAAAGTTTTGACAATTTCGAAAGAAAACGTTCCAGTTTTCCGGTTTGAAATGACTTTTTGTGCTGGAATTTTGGCTCATTAGAGTGAAAAAACATGGGGAGGGGGAAGAAAGGGCAAAATTGAACCAAAACGGTTCCGAGTGATCGAAACAAAACATTGGCCCATTGGGTCCATTGGCCCAAACCGACATTTTTTCCCCGGTTTTTCGGTTCACAAAATTTTTCGAGGTTTTGACTTTTCATCCTGATTTGAGAGAGGAACATTTTTGAAACTCTGGAAAATATTTGTGGGACAGAAAACCATTTCCCGCCTCACAGTCTGAACAGACAAAGGGCGGGAGGGGAAACTGAGGCAGAGCGAGGGGCAGCAGCTTGGCCAAGGCCCTGGGGCAGCGGCTGAGCTGAGAAGAGAAGCCAGGTGTCCTGACTTCCACCCAACCCCGTAGTCACATTGTTCTGTCTGAGCGGCCTCACAGCCCTGGCCAGTAGCTCCTGTGGCATGAGGGAGCGGGTGGCTGGGGGTGGCTGTGCCCAGGCCCTGCCGGTGCCATGTCATACCTTCCAGGCTGTCTTCGTGATGCAGGTTGAAGTTCTCGTAGGAGTCCCAGCGCACCATGGGATCGGAGATGTTATAATCCACGGTGATGGACGGGCTGTTCCGTAAGGTCTCCAGGCCTGAGGGGAGAGAACTGGTGAGGGCCACGGGCTGGGGCAGCCCCCCTGTGTGGGCTGCTCCCTCAGCCAGGGACTGGGCTGAGACCAGCCTAGCCTGGGGGGAGACACCTGGCTATGGGGGGGGCTCCCACCAGCTGGGGGAGGTCTCCTGGCTCAGGGGGGGTCCTCCCAGCCTGGCCCAGGGCAATGGGACTTCTGGCTTGGAGGTGTCGATCCTGGCTCGGTGGGCGGGGGGGTCCTACCGCCTTGGCCCAGGGGGTGGGGGATTCCTGGGCGAGCTTGGCTCAGCGCAGCGGGGTGGGGGAGGCTT